TGTGTGTGCGTCTGTGTGTGCGTGCGCGTGTGTGTGTGTAGTGTGTGTGTGTGACTGTGTGTGCGTGATTGTGTGTGTCTGTGTGTGTCTGCGTGTGTGTGACTGTGTGTGTGTGTGACTGTGTGTGTGTGTCTGTGTGTGTGACTGTGTGTGTGTGTCTGTGTGTGTCTGTGTTTGCGTGCGCGCGCGTGTGTGTGACTGTGTGTGCGTCTGTGTGTGCGTGCGCGTGTGTGTGTGTAGTGTGTGTGTGTGTGTCTGTGTGTGTGACTGTGTGTGCGTGACTGTGTGTGTGCGTGACGGTGTGTGTGTGTGACTGTGTGTGTTTGACTGTGTGTGTGACTGTGTGTGTGTGACTGTGTGTGTGTGACTGTGTGTGTGTGTGTGCGTCTGTGTGTGTGTGACTGTGTGTGTGTGACTGTGTATGTGGGTCTGTGTGTGTGACTGTGTGTGTGTGACTCTGTGTGTGCGTGCGCGTGTGTGTGTGTGTCTGTGTGTGCGTGCGCGTGTGTGTGTGTGCGCGCGTGTGTGTGTGTGACTGTCTGTGTGTGTGTCTGTGTGTGTGTGTGACTGTGTTTGTGTGTGACTGTGTGTGTGTCTGTGTGTGTGACTGTGTGTCTGTGTGTGTGTCTTTGTGTGTGTGACTGTGTGTGTCTGTGTGTGTGTAACTGTGTATGCGTGTGACTGTGTGTATCTATTTGTATGTGTGTGTGACTGTGTGTGTGACTCTGTGTGTGACTGTTTCTGTGTGACTGTGTGTGTGTGACTGTGTGTGTGTGACTGTGTGTGTGTCTGTGTGTGTGACTGTCTGTGTGACGGTGTGTGTGTGTGACTGTGTGCGTGACTGTGTGTGTAACTGTGTATGTGTGTGACTGTGTGTATCTATTTGTATGTGTGTGTGTGACTGTGTGTGTGACTCTGTGTGTGACTGTTTCTGTGTGACTGTGTGTGTGACTGTGTGTGTGTGTGTCTGTGTGTGTGATTGTCTGTGTGACGGTGTGTGTGTGTGACTGTGTGTGTGACTGTGTGTGTGTGTTACTGTTTGTGTGTGTGACTGTGTGTGTGTGTGTAACCGTGTGTGTGTGTGACTGTGTGTGTGTGATCTGTGTGTGTCACTGTTTGTGTGTGTGACTGTGTGTGTGTAACCGTGTGTGTGTGACTGTGTGTGTGATCTGTGTGTGCGTGTGTGTGACAGTGTGTGTGTGACTGTGTGACTGTCTGTGTGTGTGACTGTGTGTGTGTGTGTGTCTGTGTGTGCGTGTCTGTGTGTGTGTGACTGTGTGTGTGTGTATCTGTGCGTGGGTGTTTGTGTGTGTGTCTGTGTGTGTCTGTGTGTGCGTGCGCGTGTGTGTGTGTCTGTGCGTGTGACTGTGTGTGTGTGACTGTGTGTGTGTGTGTCTGTGTGTGTGACTGTGTGTGTGACTGTGTGTGTGTGTGTCTGTGTGTGTGCGTGCGTGCGCGCGCGTGTGTGTGTGTGTGTTTTGAGTTGGTACCCTTGTTGGGTGTTGGGTTTGGTTTGTTTTGAGTTGGATGTGAGGACTTTAACTTTTTGCCAACGAATGGGCTTTCCTTTCAAACACACAACCAAGTTTGTGTGTTTTTGGAGTTGGTACTCTTGTTGGGTGTTGGGTTTGGTTTAAATGGGAGCCAACAGGAAGGCTGTTTTGGCAGTACCCGTTTTCGGTTTAGAGGAGCAAATGGACACCTGGCATATTTTTGGGACCCCATGGACACGTACCTAATTGTCTATGTGTGGTTCAAACATCGCCTTGGCGGCCGTTGTGCGACGGGATGGGAAAAGGCGCCATCACCCTTAAGAAATAGTTGTCGTGCCACCTTCTGTGATCAAACAGTCCCCTTTCAAAGTCATCAAGGGGTCAGAGTAGTCCAGGCTGCAAGCGGCGAACACAAGTCTGGGCAAAGCACAAACTCACCGGGTTGATGGGGGCTAAAACGAGCTCACCCATGATGAAGGCCCCTTAAATGATATTCTGCTTTGTGAATTTTGTCATTTGAATATCCCCAGATGGGTATGAATTTTGATTGGTTGGACCGGTTGGAACCTTTGGTGAACATCATAGAATACTCGAGCTTATGCCGACCAATGATTTTGAGAAAGCTCGAGCAAATAGTATTCACAAGCCACGTGAGACCCCACGCTTGGTTTGAATTCGATGAACACGAAGCGTGACTGTGTTAAAATAAAGCACGCCCACACATGGTTGTTGTCCTTTCGGTTCCCCTTGGCATGTCAATTCTATTTCTGGTGCATCTAGCAGTTGCATAGTGCGATTTTCACAAAAACACCTTCCAAATGGCATCAACAAATGATTCACTGCACCCTGAGTGAATCTCCTCTGCGAGGAGGTTGTGGGCGACGACTCTGAGGCGGGCCAAAGCCTGCCTTTTGGGAGGGGGATGCTGTGCGGGAAACCATGCGAGAGGAACACCTCTTGTTTTTTTTGAGACACCAAAGGTGTAGAGTTGGCAAAACCGAAACCCTCGGCTTGCACACCCTTCGGTCCAAGGTCAGTTGGGCCCCTCTTAAAAAGGGTGTTTTTTTGGTTTCATAAACAACCATAAATTCTGGCGGCTTCCGTTTTGCGGCCTCTGGCTTCCGCTTTCCTTCGGTTTACCGGGGCCCCGTGTCCTTCATGTCCCGTGCATCCGCTGGCGATCGCGAGCCCAACCCCAACACCCGCCAGTCGCCGAGCCCCGTGCTCTCCGTGGCGGACTCGGAAGAAGCCCAGCGCCTGGCGGAAGACGTGGACTTCCCCGAGCACCTGCTGGACCTCATAATCGCCTTGAGGCGGAGAAAAGTTTTTAGTTTTCAATCCTCCCAGTTGCAAAGGGAAAATGTATACATAAGTATGTATAATATGTATAAATATGCTACCTCCCCCCCATGGACCCTAGGTTCAACTGACTTTTGGGGATGGCAAATCTAGAATCTCAAAATTGATTCTGGAAATGTCCAATTGTGGGTCCCCAAAACCTGATAATTTGGAGCCTGGAGTCCTCCAGAATGTCTCAATATTACACCCTTTCCAAATAGGATTTTACTTCAACTAGAATTGGAATTGTGAATATAATTTAGTAAGGATGTAGTTTTCAATAATGTGTTTATGTTCAATTACAGCTTAAATAAGCAAATCCTTTCCAAATAGGAGCTACATGAGAATGTGAATATATTTTCGGGCAAACTCCAACTAATATTTTTAACAATAGAAGTTAGATGAAAGTGTTTCCCAAATATGATCCACGTGCTAAATATAATCTAATACAAACACAACTCAATTAGCTTTTGAACATAACGAGTAAATGGAGACTACTTCTCAAATATAACTCATATTAAATATGGCTAAACATTTAAGGGACTTCTACAAGGAAATTCAATATACGATTTGTGTTATTTACATTATGGCCCTCTTGTAGCATAAGGCAGTTCCGACATTGAACTTGCTAGACGGTGTTCCAAAGGGACATTTCAAGGGAAGAGGGTCATAATCTAAAACTATCTCGAAACAGGGATTCTAGCTAAACCAGTTGCATTTGAAGTTCTATTTGCACCAGAAGCAAATTAATTCTATCTCAAAAGGTGGAGGTAGTAGATGAGCAAATGTGAACAGGTAGTTCAAGAGGGGGGTGACGGTGTGTGAACGTACATACATATCTATATCTATATTATACTCACACATACACACATATATACTACCCCTAGTGATCCTTGGCCTCCTCTTAAACAAAACTGGAGAATACAGTGTTTTTGAACATTACACCTACCTTTGTTTATGTCCTGGAAAGGGGTCAACATGAGCATAGCTGACATGAAGCTCACCAAAAGCACTTGAACGTTTGTCTAACCAATAACTTCAAAGTGTGTGCACTGGATCGCCAAGCATTACCACCGAATGGAAGATTTTAAGATTGAAGATTACGCAGAAAACTTTCCTGAGAATTGTCAATCCTGGCCAAACCCAAATAACATTCAAGTTCTTCTAACACTTAAGTACTTTACCACTGGATTGAGGATCCAATATTGAGGAGTGCACAAACAACCACTTTCCTGAGAATCATCCATCCTAGTCAACTCCAAAAATGCTCAAGTTGTTCTATCTCCTCGAACATATTTTACCACTGGATTGGACAACTTTTTCCGAGAATCGTATTGAACACCGAGAGTATTGAGATAACCCTGGCATTTTTAAATATTTTTATATTTAAATATTATGGGATTCAATACTCAAGATTCAAGATTCCCAGAACATATTTTCTCAGATTCTTGAATCTTGAATCTTGAATCCCATTTTTTCTGAGTTGCTCTTGTACTCTTGGATGTATTCAAACTCTTTCAGATTGCAGATGCTGATGTCCTTGCTTTCACCACATCTGTATGCATGCATGCGTATTATATATACGTATGACCCCCCCCAATTTTGACACAAATCCAAGAAGCACAAAAAACATAACACGACAGGTCAACCGCACCAAACCAGGGTCCATGGGGGGGTACCATATATATATATAGAGATAGATATGTACATATGTATATATAGATGTTCATTTCCGAGGCGGATAGTTTTTGCTGCTTTTGCTTGAAAAATATATATTTTGTTGTTCATCTCCGTGTTGGTTTCCCTAGCTACTGGACATGTCTGAGATCGAACTTGACAATGCGCTGTTGCCTCCAAACTCAAAGCTCGAAAGCACAACTCGTGACTCCAAGCCCAAACCGGCCGTCCGGCCCCTGACCAACCCTAAACCATCCTAAAACCAACTCTCAGACCCTAAAGCCACCTTTAAACCTTACACCAACCCAAAGCCACCACTTAACCCCCAACCCTAAACTAACCCCAAAACAACCCTAAACCAACCTAGCAACCTCAAACAGAAACAACCCTACACCAACCTTGACGCAACCTCAAACAGACCTCAAGCCAACCCCAAACCGACCATGAAGCCACCCACAAACCACCCTAAACCAACCTTAAGCCAACCCTAAACCCGCCCTTACCCCCCAACCCTAAACGAACCCTACAGAACTTTAAGCCAACTCTCAAACCAATCCTAAATCCACCATCAAGCCAACTCTCAATTCAATCCTAAGCCCACCCTCAACCCACGCTGAACCCACACAACCTTAAACCAACTCACACAACCCTAAGCCCACCCTTACCCCACCCCCAACCCAACTCTTAAGCCAACCCTAAACCCACCCTTCACCCACTCTCAAACCAACCCTCAACCCACCCTAAACCCACCCTAAACCCACCCTAAACCAACCTCAAACCATCCCAACACCCAAACCCACTCTCAAACCAACCCTAAGCCTACCCTCAACCCCACCCACCCATCTTAAACCAACCCAACACTCTCAATCCAACCCTAAACCCACCCTTTCCCCTAAACCCACCCTTAGCCCACCCTAAACCAGCCCGCTCTGAACCCACCATAAACCCACCCTCAACCCCTAAGACCACTTTTAAACCAACCCTAAGCCCCCTAAGCCCACTCTTGACTCTCTCTGAACCCGCCCTAAACTCAACTCTCACCCCAACCCTAAACTCACCCTGAACCCACCCTCAACCCACCTTAACCCACCCTCAGCCCACCCTGAACCAACCTTAAACCCACCCTTACCCACCCTCAACCCATCCTTAACCCACCCTAAACCCACTCTAAACCAACCGGAACTGGAAACTCTGGACTCCAAACGCGAAACTCGGAACTCAACATTTGTTTGTCGTGTGCGTTCTTTCATTCTTCCACAGGAGTGTTTTGGCACATGGAAGGTCCGATCCACGTCTCACGTTTCGACTATCAAACATGTAAGACATGGTGTCTTTGTTTGAGTATCCCCTTTGTTTTTAAAGGAAGCCACAAGGGGAAATCACAATTTCTGCGGGGTCTAAAAAACCCATTAGGAGACGGGTGCACCATGGGTAACTCCATGTGGTGGTGAGAGTCATGTGTTGCTGTGGTTTCCCTAATTGTCGCCTGATGTCAAGGATCTTTTGATCAACCCGCACGAGCTGTTGCACTCCGGTGTTCTCCACCCGAAACTTGAATTCAGACCCATGGACCTCATGCACCTAACTGATTTTTGGTCAGCCGTTTGGGTTTTTGCATGGTGTCCTGAAAAGAACAACACCAGTTTGGGGGGGGTCGTTCACCCCACAAAGAAAGGAACAGTTTGGGGGGGTCGTTAATCAAACCTTGGTGGCTCCCAGCCATCCGGTTCCTTAGCTTTTTAGGACTTTTAGTGTTTAGTGGCAGTTTCCATTTGACCCACTAAGAGTTCGTCACTTGTAGCGGATCAGAAAACGGGCAGCCCAGAAGCAAAGGAGACACGGCGTTTTTATTCTCCGCGAAGGGCCTACCTCCGGGACGAGGCGGAGCCCCCGGTGCGTCTCTCGGACCGGCGCCTGGGTAAGGCCGTGCGCCTGCTGCGGCTCGCCGCCTCGGTGACCGGGGCCTCTGAGGCCGGGATCGATCCGAGGATCCGAGGATCCGAGGTCCTAGGTCCCCATGTGAACCGCTTGAGCAGAACTGGTGGGCGAATTTTTGCCTTTTGGGATTCAGTGGCCACTTTTGGAGGGAACACCCTAAGACTGGGACAGGTGTAGAAAAATCCTGGGTCAAGAAGAGTGCCCGACCTCTCAGCCCTTTTTTGGTTGGGAGGGTTACAGAAAAACAGTTGGTATACCCTTATTCTTACCCTCTCTACTGGGGGACCCAGTCTCAAGCCAAAAGGAAACCACCTCTTTTTGGAGACTGGACAGGGGTAGATCATTTTGAGGGCAGCCAAAAGGAGACCACTCATTCCCAATGAGTGCGATCGCAAGTTTTTGCAGAGGTCTCAGAGCTGGACCTCTTGCTCTTGCAGCACATGTGCTGGGACAAGGAGCCCCAGCAGGCGATTTGGGACTCGGACGGACAACTCCCCCAAAATGGGCCGGTTTTCCCCCAAGAAAACCGCCCAAAAAAGGGGACCCGACTCAAAACAGACCCATTTGCTTAAGATGTTTTTTCATTACCCCCGTTGGATTTGAAGGGAATCTATCACTACTACAAATGTTTGTGTTTCTTCAGGGACTGGACAAGTAGATCAGCCACAAAGGGACTTACGCTGAGACCCACAAACAGACACACGCAAACGAACAAAATAGACAGACAGACAGACGGACCAATAAACAGACAGACAGCAAGCAAGCAAGGAAACACCTCCACGCACCCACAGCCAACACACACACACACACACGCGCACACACACACACACGCACAAGCAAAAACACACACCCACACACAACAGACAGACAGACAGACAGACAGACAGACAGACAGACAGACAGACAGACAGACAGACAGACAGACAGACAGACAGACAGACAGACAGACAGACACACAGACACACAGACACACAGACACACAGACACACAGACACACAGACACACAGACACACAGACACACAGACACACAGACAGACAGACACACAGACACACA